CCCCAAAACCCCAAAACCCCAAAACCCCAAAACCCCAACCTATAGCCATTCTTTTGAAAACTATTTAACACATTTCTATTAGAGACTCTTTGACTAAGGAATAGAAATACAGTTAGAGGGACTATAGGTTGAGTAAAGAACACTCCAAGTCGGTTATCTCGTCTGTGGAGATAGACCTACTGCACATATGTTGATGGTGGCTTATGAAGTCGTGTTTTAGAGAGGATTTGGTCAAATTTCTGACCCTCATCTTGTGCTTCATAGCGTTAAAAGATCTCTTTGTGACGGTTCTGAGTCTATTTTGGTACCGATTCTATAAAAATTAGCGTTAACTTTAAGGAAAGTGAAGGGTTTCTTATACCTTGCTTGTATTGTTATACGTATGGAAGTACGTGTCCATCTGGTGGGAAGCATCATGATTATATCCTTGCTTCTTAGGAACACTACCAACCCATTGATAATCTTTCAGTAAAATCTCTTCTATAATCCATTATCCTAATACTGTAGTTTTTATAAAGATAAGAAATAACTTTCGCATGAAGCTTTTAAATGACCTTAAATTTTCAAGAATTGCGTAATTTTGTAAGATAGAATCTTAAGAAACTGACAGATTAAAAATACCATTTTTAGGTTTTATCTTGCTAGATTCTGTTGGAAAGCCAAATAATTGGTACGAATCTGTTCTCTGCTTCTCCACCTGCACTTGGAAGTTGCTCCTTTGGGAAATTTCACAGCTGGTATGATAGAGTTGATCAAGACATCTTCCTGGGCTACTACTATCTACTTCTTTCTTGGTATAAATCTTATTGATCAGATTCTTATATTTCTTATTTCGAGCACCGATTCTTAGTCTCTTAATAAAGGTAAGGTGAGAATTAGAGAATGTATTGCTTAGTTATAATTTGAATAGTTTCTTAGCTGAACTGTATTTATACTCTATTCATACAAACCTACTTTTAATCTCCCCCAAAGATGAAGGAAGCTCATCGAGGTTTTATAGCAGTTTTCACAATCACCATTATTAGTTTTATTTATATTAAGAGCTGGATGGGAAAAGTAACAGTTTCAGAAACCATTTGAAAAGAAATTCTGACATAAATATTTTGTGAATTTATTTAGATATCTCACCTTATTTTTGAAACTGATCTTTGATTGAGGAATCGGTCTAAAAATCTTCATTAATTATACCTCAGCATGATGTGTTGTAAATTCCTTGTTCTCTTAATCTGATCAAACTGATGCTTTTTTACCTGAAATAGAGATCGGTCTTTATTATTCGCTCTTCTGATAGCTTCTAAGCTTCCTCTTAATTTACTGAAGACTTGTCTTCTTTTTCTTACAGAGCTATCAGCTAATATATCTCTAAATCTATAGATAAGAAATAAGCCCAATCCAACTGAATTCATTTACCTAAATACCCTCTTCTCTTTGCCTTCTTCTTTTCAGATTTCTTGATCACACTCAAAAACAGGCCCTTGCTCTACCTCACTCATCAAATTCTTAATATCTCAATAAATCTCATATATTTTGGGGTTTTGGGGTTTTGGGGTTTTGGGGTTTTGGGG